AACTAAGTATAGTACGTAATAAGACCAACTAGTATAGTATATAGTAAGTTAAGTAACTATATAATAATATACTACGTAACGTAAAGTAAGTAGTACGTATATAGTATATATATATATATATATATATATATATATATATACATACTTACCAGATTTCAGTGATAAAAATATTAGCTCTTACCATACTGACCATTCTTAAGTTCTTGTCCATTGGACAATTATTTAAAAAAATAATTACTGTTACAAAACAAGTATGTTAGTACAAAGCTAAAACATACATCTTCTTTAAAAATTAAAGTATTTGGCTATTCTTTTATTAAAAGTTTTAATGTGTAGGACTAGGAGACACATCAGTATTAATATTATAGCAATTCGATAAAATTAACATGAAGAATAACATTGCCTAAAATGAAATTATATACTTCTTCTAAGGATAAAGTTGAATAAAACATTAATTTTTTATTCTTACGATAATCCTTATCATACTAATTTAATTATTTATTTAGTAATTCCCAAGGGTATGGAATACCTTGATATGAGTATGATCACAAACGAAGAGCTTGTATCTGGAAAGCTCGTTTGTAATCTCAACGTTTTCGATTTTCACACCCAGTTTCAATATAAGTTACCTCACTAGGTGAGATTCGTATTCTAATAGCAATAGTAATAACATTGTGTGTACTCTTACAGTTACACAGAAAAATTCATCGAAAATTAGGCCTAACTCACCATCTCTTCCTGTTCCCATCAATTGATCTAGCATTTGCCTCATCTGGTCATGTGCCGACATTTTTGTGTTTCTTTTGGTTGATTTACTGTTCAGGAGTTAGTTATATAAAGTTATTTAACTGTATGTTAAACTATAATAGTTAGGCTAAAAAAATACGATAGTCGCCAACTTCAAATCCTTAACTTAACCTTATCGATGTCCAACCAAGCCTACGAACATCGTTTGCTCAATATGGCCGCCGATATAAAATTAATTAACAATGAAGAATCTATGAAAAGCAAAACATTATAATTATTGCTAAAATACAGTAGGACACATACCTACAACAAAGAGAGGAAAGGAAAAAAATGAGTAAAAACAAACATTTTAATCAAGGTCTTTTACAAAATTTAAATTTAAATAAAACAATATAAAGTGCCCTCATTAATCAGTTTGAGAATGATAATTTAAAAATAAACAAAATGTAATTTATATTATAAGTAGAAAAAAAATGTTAAATTAAAACTACATTAGTACGAAGAATTCAAAGAGTTGTGTCTTTTTAAAAGTGAGATTAATTTCTTATAAATGGCATAGCTAAGTATATATTTTCATAATTGTCAAAACATTATTACAGTTAAAAAGTATGCATATATATATATTCGTGATTTAGGCATTTTCGAAAACAAGGTATAACTATACTTATGTAATATTTAAAAATTTACAGTCTGTGTTAACTACAAACATTTATTTTAATTTTCTTTTGAATGCGTACGTTATCAAATGGTTAGATTGACGCAGAGATCATTTTACAGCTTTGTGCTGAAACGTTGTTCAAAGGGTATTTTAGACAATGTAAACTGAGAGTTTTGGCTTTAATGGATTGCGCCTTCCTGTTTCTAAAATAGAACGACGTTTTGGCTTCTATTTTAAAAGTGAAATAATCCATTAATTAACAAGTTAAACTAATCTAAATGATATCGTGTTCTTACAAGAAGTACATAGATTGGAGAAATAGATCGAACCATAAAATATGCAGGCATGTCACGCGTTTTCTATCTTGTTATTTATAATATATAATTTGTCAAAATATTTCTTTTATTTCAAGTTTATACAGTTTCGGTCAAGAAAGTTGTTAAGTTGATTCAAGTTTACGGCCTTCTAAATGCATGAATGGCAATTAGCAATTATGTAGAGGCATTGGTCACTATGGGTAAATCAGACGCGTTTCTAGTTAAGTAAGAAACGTTAGGTTTAAACATACATATTCTGGATGTAAAGTGAATTGTTTAGTACGAATGCAGATCGAAGGAAGAAAGCCAGTCTAATAAATTCGTGAATCCAGTGAAAAGTGACCATCCAGAAGGAAGTACACACATTATTTTCTGTCTTTGAATTAAAAAAGAGGGTTTTTATTGTATATTACACATCAATGACAGTCTGTTTATTTCTTTGTGGAAGTTCAGTTAGTTTTAGCTGAATTCAGCATTACTTTCTAATATATCATGCTGATCCTCCAGTTATTTAGTGGGCCTATAAACAGAACAAGGTTAAATAAAACAACTAATGAGCTGCCGAAAGTAATTAGCTACTCTGAATCAGGGACCGACTATTCACCCAAGGGTTGGTGTTCCTGAGTATATCCACTATGCCATGCCCATGATGTAAGTCGCATCTCAGCTAGGCAATCACTATAGGGAGAGACCTTGGCACCACCATAGGTTTCTGTGAGTAATACCAAACAGATATTGCTCCCATGGTTCATAGGTGTAGTAGCAAAAAGGTCTTGACCATATTATGAAGCCTTTTAGACAGTTAATTGTTGTGATGGCTGGTCTAAGGAGCAAGCAGCTCATTTCCTAATCCTGAGTTTCTATGGTTCAGCTCTGGAATCCATTGAGCACTTAAGTGAAGTGCAACTGGATTACTGGGATACATTTGCGGCTGAGTCCCATTGCTAATTTGACCTTTTTAAAAACTGAGCCCAGTTCAAAGCTCAGAAAAGAAGTGTCATCGAGAGTCTGGCCACTTATATGGACAATTTGTGCATCTGCACGGTAGAATATACCTTGCAACGGTTTCATCAAATTTACTTATACAAGCAAAATGATGAATCACCACTTTAATGTGAGAGATAACCTTAATCTTACAGATGCTGTTTTCATAGTGACCAGGAATGAAGTGATAATTTCAAGCCAGTCAGAGGAGTAAAAGAAGCCTGCTGTGGCAGCTGATGTTGCTACACCTCAGACAGACCGTTCTACTTAGATACCTCCACTTTACCGAGGGTTAACCAGACATACATGCATCTTAGCACTGTGGTACAATCCCAATAGTTTCCAGTAAACAGACAGGGCTATCCTGGTTTCCCTTGATTTGCATACCCAAGCCTATGCCAATAAATTGCCCATACTTTGCCAAGCAGCAAAATAAGTAACGTTATTGGTTGTAATTAATGGTGCACCAGGTGTAAGAGAACCAATAGCAGGCAGTAAATGCTGCCACTACTTTCTGGAAAAACTATTGGAGCCCAAATCGAGCCTAACCAACTTGAATGGATTTTGGCAGACAGCTTGTGCTGAAAGGTTTGGTTGTAAGCACAGCTTTCTCAGGTTTGTCAGTATATTCTATTTAACTCGTGAAAGTCCTAATACATACTCTGGTGTTTTCAAGGAATCCCGGTATTAACATTTCTATCATTAATGCTTAGTTTAGAATAAAATATTTTATATGAATATTGCTAATTTGGTATAATTCAGAAATATCGCAGTCACAAACACCAGCCTGATGGTTAGGGGAATCGAATTGCAATCTGTGGGTTACAGGATCAAATCCTTTCCCTGTTCACGCTTGCCCTTTCAGACATGGCGGCATTATAATGTTACAGTCAATCCCACTATTCGTTGGTAAAGAGTAGCTCAAGAGTTGACAGTGGGTGGCGTTTACTGGCTTCCTTCTCTTTAGTCTATTATTTCAAAATAAGGGACAACTCACGCACAGATAACCCTCGAGTAGCTTGCTAACTCCATAATTCCAATCAAATGATTTTAGAATATTTTCAAGAGTTCCCTAGGTTTGCAAAAAAAAAAAGAAGAAAGTTTCATTCACTTGAAATATGATTTATAACATTTACCTTTGCACATAATAACAGCAAGACACTATTATTTTTTCATCATAATCAACCCAGCCGAGTTTTGCCCTCAGAGACCTAACCAGGATGGAATTAAATTCTACCGTAAAGTAATTTTTAGTGAACAATCTTATTTACGTACTTTTGAGTTGGTATATACCGAATGTTTTTTATTTTATTAAACCTAATAATTTCAACAGTTTTTGTCCGCTTCTAATCTTTTACTTTTTATCCTCTCTTTCGTTTAAGCATTATATGTAATCATTTATTCTCTTTTTTTTTCTTCCTAATTTTCTAAAAGTTGTGATGATAAGATCACATCACACAGTCTATAATTACCATTTTTGTAGGCCCGGCATAGCCAGGTGGTTAAGGCACTCGACTCGCAATCTGAGGGTCGCGGGTCCGAATCCCTGTCACACCAAATATACTCGCCTTTTGAGCCGTGGGGGCGTTATAATGTGACGGTCAATCCCACTATTCATTGGTAAAAGAGTAGCACAAGAGTTGATGGTGATGACTAGCTGCCTTCCCTCTAGTCTTACACTGCTAAATTAGGGATGGCTAGTGCAGATAGCCCTCGTGTAGCTTTACGCGAAATTCAAAAACAAATAAACCATTTCTGTAATTTTTTCATCGAAATTGAACTTTACTGTATGGGTTCGAACATCATAATTACAAAAATGTCGCTTTTATAGATTAAGCTAGTTAATTATATCATTATTTAACGTGTTGAGAATTGTAATAGTTAATTAGATCCACGAGGAAGCATTATTCTTTGATTCTGTATGATTCAAAAAATTATTCTTTTGTTTTGGTTCTTGTCTGCATGTAATATATATATTCCTTTAATGGAAAATGTACGTATCACGGTCCACTATCAACAAGCAAGCAAAACAAGAACGCCTCACGACAATAATGACTTGTACTTAGGCGCATGCGCACGTTTAGTTTTAGGTTTTATAAGTTTAAGCTCTTGAAACAGCTATTACTATTAGTGGGATAATAAAGTTGTTTAGTTACGACTCTAATAGTGAGACATGATCACTTAAAACATTTGAAGTACAAATACATTCAAATTACATATACATCCATCCAAATAATCTTAAAGATTATAGTACCGCCATCTGTTGTTAATAACGTAATTTAATACAAACATAACTGCGCTCCTGCTGTTTTACTTAATTTACGTTTTAATTCTTTGATTATGAATGGTTCTAAAATGTTTCTTTTGTTTTGGTTCTTGTTTACGTGTAATATTTTTAATTTTTAGAAATCTATTTGGTGTTATTTTTCGATCACGTGTTTATGTACATTTGATTATTTTGTTTTTCCTTCCAACCTGGGATTTGTTATTGTTTGTGAAAATTCATTATTCTTAACTTTGTTTAATGCAGACTGAAGCTTATTCCTAGACATTTGTATTATTGTAAATATAATAACAACGCTTATCTTCAGAATGTATCTTTATTAGCTCAACATTTCGCTATTATAGCTTCATTAGAAGCTATCGATAACCTACAACTTCAAGTACAAGTTGTTAATTGTAGTGTTGTGGTACACTGGGTGAACATCAGTAACGGAATGTTCTAGGGTTCTTTTGCTGAGAAAATTTGGAATCCAAAGACATAGGTGTTTCATTTATTTACAGATTTCAGAAACTGCTTCTTTTATTGTATTACAGAGGTTTGTTTTCATTTGGTACTTTTTCCATCCGTTTGGTCTCTCTCTCTTTTTTTTATTGTTTTGTGAATACGCGCATGCTCCCAAGGTAGAAGCCATTATTGTAGTGATCCTCTCCTGACAAAACGGGATCTAGCACGTGAGGAATACGTTAAGGGTTGGCCATTGTAAGCATACGTATACTATAATATTACATTCGATTTAACTTATGGTTATCCAAATCAAACAGATTTACTCTTTCAATCGAATAGATATAAGATACCATAATAAAATTAATACAAAAAAAGTATTCATAAATAACTGTACTTTTGATATAATAAATTAAAAGACAACAGTTCCATGTGCAGTCGTGGCCGAGTGGTTAAGGCGATGGACTTGAAATCCATTGGGATATTCCCGCGCAGGTTCGAGTCCTGCCGACTGCGAAAAATCATCTATATTTTTTATTTTATCTTTTTT